TACTGGTATTTGGCATATTGGGTATGGCACAAGGACTTTACCAGACTCTGCCGTGTGGGCAGGTTACATTCGGTAGCCTGCCACGTTGTCCAAAGCAAAAATGATATAATAAGATGTCGCACGGCCGGGAATTTAGCCACGCGCTTCCAGGAGCTGGGCTTTATAGTCTCTGTGTCTTGGCCGTTGATGCGATTAAACGGCATCAGGGGGCAGTTGGTGGGTGTGACCCCCGCCTACTGAAAGATGGAGGATCTGAAAGGGTGGAGGATGCTCAGCCCCGATCCGAGTAGGCTTGGAGAACTCAGCCCTGGGACCCACATGTCTTTGTTCCTCTGCTGTTACCTTCATGCATGTGGAGAGTGGTCTCAGCATGGTTGTGGCTGGTTCTAGAGGTCTTCAGCTGCCGGGGTTCTGCCCAGGGCTGGGAGGGAAACTCAACCTTCCCCCTTCCAAGTGGCCCCGGCTAGGACAGCCAGGCACGGGGGCAGGAGACTCTGCGCTGTTTTCTTCCGGAAGCTTGGTTTTTTATTATATTATTATATTAAACTCTCACTATTAGCAGATGATATGCTATTATACTTAGAGAACCCTAAAACTTCTTCCAAGGAATTCTTAGAAACAATTGACTTGTATAGTAAATTTGCAGTCTGTAAAATCAATATCCAAAAGTCCATGGCTTTCCTATACGCAAATAATGAGAGTGAAGAAAGTGACATGAAAAAAGCAATCCCATTCACAATTGTGCCTCAGAAATCAAGTACCTAGGAATCAGCTTAAGTAAGGAGTAAAAGACCTGTACAAAGAAAACTACAAAATGCTACTTCAGGAAATAAAAAAGGACACAAGGAAATGGAAAGATATCCGCTGCTCATAGATTGGGAGCATTAACGTTGTCAAAATGGCAATACCCCCCAAAGCATTCTACAAATTCAATGCAATCCCTACAAGGATATCCATGAAATTCTTCACAGAAATTGAGTAAACATTCCTGAAATTTATATGGAACAATAAGCCTGCATGCATAGCTAAAGCAATTCCTGGGAAAAAGAAAATGGGAGGAATCAACCTCCCCAACATCAAACTCTACTACAAAGCAGTAATAATTAAAACAGCCTGGTACTGGAACAAAGACAGAGCCCCAGACCAATGGAACAGGGTTGAATATTCTGCCACCTCCCCGCTAAAAAATTATGATCATCTAATCTTTGATAAGGGAGCAAGAAATGTGAAGTGGAGCAAGAAAAGTTTCTTTAACAAATTGTGCTGGCAAACTGGACATTTACATGCCAAAAAATGGGCTTAGATCTCTACCTAACACCATGTACAAAAGTAAGATCAAAATGGATTGAAGACCTCAACATCGGACCAGAATCCATAGGTACATTGAAGACAAGGTTGGCAAAACCCTCCACGACATTGAAGTTAACAGTATTTTCAAAAATGATATGCCACTGGCCAAGCAAGTGAAAACAGAGATAGACAAATGGGACTATCTTAAACTAAGAAGCTTCTGCACCTCAAAAGAAACAATGACCAAAATACAAAGACAGTCTACAGAATGGGAAAGGATATTCACCCAGTCTACATCCAATGATATCAAGGATATGCAAAGCACTGGTTGAACTCCACAAGAAGAAAACATCCAACCCCATCAAAAAATGGGGTGATAAAATGAACAGAAAGTTTCTCAAAGAAGAAATCCGAATGGCAAAAAGGCACATGAGAAAATGTTCTGCATCACTAATCATCAAGGAGATGCAAAACAACAATGAGATATCATCACAGAAACTGGTCCACATCCAAAAAAAAAAAACAAAAGCAACGAGTCTTGGTGCAGATGTGGGGAGTAAGGGACGCTCCTTCACTGCTGATGGGAATGCCGACTGGTTCAGCTCTTTTAGAAAACAGTATGTACTATTCTCAAAAAATTGAAAATTGAGTTCCCATTTGACCCAGCAATACCACTCCTGAGAATATATCCAAGAGGTGCAAAAAAATACAGTCGCACTTGTATGTTCATTGCTGCACTGTTCAAAATAGCCAAAATTTGAAATTAACCCGAGTGCCCGAGAACAGATGACTGGTTAAAGAAACTTTGGTACATCTACACAATGGAATACTATGCAGCTGTTAGAAAAGATGAAGTCATGAAATTTACATAAAAGTGGTTCTACATGGAAAGTGTCTTGCTAAGTGAAATGTCAGAAAGAGAGGGACAGACATAGAAAGACTGCACTCATCTGGGGAATATAAAGTAACAGAATGGGAGATTAACACCCAAGAATAATTGAGATAAGTACCAGGAGGTCTGCTCCATGGCTTGGAAGACAGCAGCACATGCTGGGGGGAAAGGCAGCTCAGACAGAGAAGGAAACACCAAGTTAAAGGATGTTTGTAGGATTTGCTCGGGATGCAAGATGTGTGCTCAAAGTAGACTATAGACTGAACACGATAGTCACTCAATACCTCTATTGCAAACCACAACACCCTAAAGGAAAGAGAGAGCAAAAGGGAATGCCCTGCCACAAAGGTGGGTGGGGTAAGGGGTATGGAGTAGTGGGGTGGCAGGGCTACTGGAATCATTGGTGGTAAAGAATGAGCACTAGTGGAGGGATGGGTACTTGATCATTGTATAACTGAAACCGAAGCACCAAAGTTTGTAAGTCTACAACTGTACCTTATGGTGTTTCAGTAATAAAAATAAATAGATAAATAAATATAAAAGTATTTGGACATATATGTGGGTTTTCAGAAAGATTTGTTTCTGACAATGGTCTCATCATTTGCTGGTGAAACAAGTTCCTTCATTTTACATAATTTAGTGTTAATGATGTTGCTAAAGCGACCTTAATTCAAATGAAAAAATATTTCTCTTAGTAATTTATATCTTGATTGAAGTAATAACATCTTGTATGCGTTAGTAGATAAACTAATAGTGTTAAAACATAATTGTATAAGATAAAGTGAATGCCAACTCCAGAAGAGATCATTCCATAGAATTCCAAAAATGGCAGAGATCCACGGCTCACAAGCCTATCTTGCAGGCTATTTTCTAATTTCATTTTATAGATTGTAATTCTTAATGCTCTTCAGTGTTTAATAGACATTTTACAATTTATACCAGCATTAATTTGAAACATAAGTTTCAAATCCATAAGTATATTAATTGCCTTATTGCTTCTATGGGCCGTGGGAGAAAGCAGATTTTACAAAGTCAAAATACTTACGGTTTTTAAAAAATATCTTGACATTGATTCTTTTTATTTTTGGTAAGTTAGATGTCTTGCTTTCATTGTCGTGAGATAATGTAAGTATTGAAGTCATTAAGGAGATACTTACTGTTCCCCAAACTTAAACGTCAGAATTAACAGAGGCAAAAGGCACAATTTAACATATTATGTTGGCTGACTGTAAAGGTCAAAATTACCAAGCTTTACAGAAGAACCACCAGAAGTATACAGTAGATCCCTTGTAGAAATCATGAAGGAAAGCCAGTGTAGGCAATGTCTGGAACGCAAAAACCAAATATGAGTTGTTATCTGTGACTGAAGCAAAGCAATTGTCAAAAGTTTGACTTGGTTGCAAAAGAATTTAAAGGACCAGTGGATCTTTTTGAATGTACAAGATGGCATTGTTGTTCTACTGTAACATTTCCTGAGAGGCAAGGACTGTTATAATCTATTAAGCAATCCATAGCATTGCTCTTAGTTCGTACTCAGTGATTCTATTTTCATATGAGATAAGTAGGTGAGATATATGTCAACAAAATTGAAGGCTCAGTTAGTACTGCCTTCCAGAAATTTATAAGGTGGTCAGAATTTTTTTTTTAATTTATTGAGTCACCATGAGATACACAGTTACAAAGCTGTTCATGATGGGGTTTTAGTCATACAATGTTTCAACACCCATTCTTCCCCCCCTCTCCTTTTGGGAATTATGGTTTGCAATACAGATACTAAGGGGCCATCATGGTTATTCCTTTACCTAATTTCAGCACTCAGCTCTTATCCAGAATGATCATTTCAAACTATCTTTGTCATGGTGTTCCCTTCTCTAACCCGACTACCTTTTCTCCAAGCATTTGAGGCAGGCTTCCAACTGGGGACCTTTCCTCCCGGCCCTTGTTTCTATTGTCCTTGGGTATTAGTCCCTATTTATTTATGTCCCACAAATGAGCTCAATCATTCTATGTCTGTTCCTCTCCTTCTGACTCACTCCACTCAGCATGATACTCTCTGTGTCCATCCATTTGTAAGTGAATGTCATGACTTCATTTTCCCTAACCGCTGCAGAGTATTCCATTGTGTAGATGTACCAAAGTTTCTTTAGCCAGTCATCTGTTCTATGGCACTTGGGTTGTTTCCAGATTCTGGCTATTGTGAGTAGTGCTTCGGTAAACCCGGCTGACACACGGCTTTTTTGCAGTGTGTTTTTGGGCCGCCAGGGTATATTCCCAGACGTGGTATTGCTGTGTTATAGAGAAGCTCAATTTTGAGCTTTTTGAGGAATGCCCATATTATTCTCCAGAAAGGCTACATTTGTCTACATTTGGTGACTGGAATTTTATTACCTTACTTGCACCATTTTGCTAAGAAAAAACAAATATAGTAGATGAGGGTAAAAAAGTAAATCTGGGGGAGGAAAGAGATTTGATGCTAAAGCATGGTGTATACAGTTAATCGACATTATTCTGCTTTCCCCCCCTATGTATTAATAAGAGTAGATTTCAGAATTAATTATAATTTAATCAAGAAGAGAATGGATTGTTGGTAAGAAGGAAATCCAAATGACATTGAATAACTGTTTTTACGACATTTGGAAATTCACTGCAGCCTCTTGCTAGACTTTTAACATATTCTATAAAGTTTTGATTTTGGGAGGAATTTGGAGAACATTTGTAGAAAATCAGCTATGTGCTGACTTTCTATTTTTTCAGCTATGGTAGCATGAATATTCCTTTAGCACACTGGTTATTATACTGGCTTTCTTTCCTTTTGCAGGGAATTTACGTTTTTGTGGTTTACTTCATTCTACACAATCAAACCTGTTGCCCTCTAAAGGCCACGTACACGGTGGAAATGAATGGACACCCTGGACCCAGCACAACCTTCTTCACACAGGGGAGTGGAATGCCTCCTGCTGGAGAGGAGATCAGCAAGTCCACCCAGAACCTCATCAGCGCTATGGAGGAGGTATCCGTCCTTGCCCTTGCTCTTTCTTTCATTGTTTCACTCTCATTGATAGCATCTCCATCTCACGAAGAGCACAAGTAGTGGTAGTTGTCTGGTACATTTTTTTTCCCCTGACATCCTCTGGTCTCTGTCCTTGATCTGATCAATTCTTTCCCATCCCAGCAAGTTATATTAATATGGTTTATATCAGGAAGTCAGAGAAACATTTGACATCACTTTCTTTGCAGTTTTCGTAATATGACGAGAAATTCACTGAGTATAGTTTAGAAGCATGTTTAAGTACTTTTGTTCTTTTTTTTTTCTCTTTGGGTCAGACCCAGAAATGCACAGGGTTTACTCCTGGCTCATGCACTCAGGAATTACTCCTGGCTGTGTTCGGTGTACCATATGGCATGCTGGGAATCGAAACCGGGTTGGCCATGTGCAAGGCAAATGCCCTACCTGCTGTGCTATCACTCCAGCCCCAAAGTACTTTTGTTCTTTTGTGGGAAGGGTGGGGTGGTGACAGAGCCACATGTGGCAGTGCTCAGGGCTTGGTCCTGGCTCTGTGTTCAGAGCTTGGGGAATCATATGCTGTGCCAGAGATCAAATCTGGGTAGGCTATGTGTAAGCGAGCACCTTACCCCTGTACCCTCACTCCAGCACAGTTCTTTTATTTTTGTATGCACTTTCACGGCCCTGTTCCTCCTCCTCTCCCACATACCACTTCAATCCTAACAAACACTCAGTGAAAAGAAAATAGGCCGAAACTCCTTTCATTCAAATACCACAGATTATTCAAGAATAAAGACTCAGAAGATGGTTATTAGTCATGTGCGGCTATTTTAGCTAACTAAAATTAAGTATGTTAAAAATTCAGTTAATCAATCACATGGGCCATGTTCAAATATTCGATAGTCACGTATCTGGCAGCCACCATGGTCGAGGACATAAGTAGAAACATCCGTAGTGTCACAGAAAGTTCTGTCAACAGTGCTGCTATTGACGTTCAGCTTCTTAGTGAAATTGTTTAAGATTCCATCTTCTCTCAAATTTATTCCTAAAGTCCTCAGGTCACTTTTATTAGTGTGAGGCATTCTTACAGTGTCTCAGAAAAACATGTATTGGGAGATAGCAGCTGTGATTGTTCAATTCCTGGGTCTGAGCCACAACTTGGATGTTCCTTTGGGGTGTTGCATAATGGCATACCCTACAGTGTGCTCTGCATTCCTCAGAGGCCTGCCTGCCTTCGTCCAGCTGTCAATAAGGGCTCATCAGAGACATTCAAGAAACCTAAGAGGAGAAGGGAAGCATTTGGAAAAGACTGAGGGGTTGTTTACTCATAACCCAGAGGAAGTGAATCTGTTTAGTCATTTCAAGATAGAACTAGCTTTGTGATCACTTAATCAAAATTAGAAGGAGTTGGGTCTGGAAGAAAGCTCTGAGAGCTAGAACTTATACCTTGCCTATGGTAAATTCAGTTGCACCTCCAGGAAGGGACAGGGGCTGAAGGTGAAGAGTGTATGCCCCTATAGATGTCATAGTTCAAATTTGATTGGCTACCCTCCAGAATTCACAGCTACTTCTTCTGGAAGGGAGCATAAAATCATGCCCCCATAACCATGCCACCAGACTCTGTGCCAGGCTGTTTTTATTTGGGGCGACCCAGAGAGTGGCAGGTGAGAGTCCTCCCCACCTCAAGGGACCCAGCCCCGGCAGCCGACCTCCACTACCCAACTGCCACCACACTCCAGGCTGCTTTTCACACACTAAGGCCGAGCCTCACATATGAGTGAACCTATTCCTAGACACATCATAAGACATTTCCTAACTATTTTCCATAATTACCACACCATATTTGATGGGGTTCAGACAGAAGGCAGCAAATCATGGAGGGAAATATATATACATATGCATATATACATATTTTCAGACATATCTACTAAAGCTCACGTCACCCAAAATTTGACATGTTACTGATATCCTACAGAATGTCTTAATGGCTCCTGCCAAAATGGAACAATCTTCACACTGTTTTCTATATAAACACTTTTTTGTAATCATGTTCAGCAGTTCTTCATAATAGACAATACAAAATATATTCTTTCTTTTGTGTTTTGAGACAGGGATTGGAGCTTGGGATGAAAACATACCAATACCAAATTTGGTGATGGGAAGGTGTAATGGTGGTGGGATCGGTGTTTGAATGTTAAATGTAATAAAATATTGTGAAGTAACTTATAAAATAAAAAAATTAAAAATAAAAATTGATAAATAAATATAATTCAAGTCCTACGTTTGTATCTAAAAGAGTGGAAGGGGTCTTGTCCAATTGTTATTGTGTAATTTGAGAGTGGTACTTTGTTCTACAACCCAGGGTGCTCAAAGCCACTCCTGGTCATGTCCTTAGGGGTCACTCCTGGAGGATACTCAGGGGACCATTCAGTTCCAGGCATTGAACCCAGTCCCTGAACTCAAAGCATGCACTCAGTTCATTGAGCTTTTGTATTGGTCCCCAATTTTTATTTTTTTAGCAGAATTTGTGTGTGTGTGTGCACATACTACCAAAAATATATGGAAAGGGTACTTGATTGTTTTTAAAAATAGATTTCTTTCATAGTCACAAGTACTTTTTAATGTAGAAATTGTTTAGAATTACTAGATCAGATTATTTAATAGGGAGGTGTACTTTTCTAAGAAATAAAAGGTAAAATTAAATATTTTAATTCTAAGTAGTTTAACAGCCCTTTCACTTGGTTTTTGAAGTGATATGTGGATATAAATTGTTCTCATAAATTTTGGAATAAATATGTATATGTTTATTTTGGTTTCCTTTTCTCCCCAACCAACCCAAAAAGGTACCACCTGACTGGGAAAGAGCATCCCTCCAGCAAGCCAGTCAGGCAAGCCCTGACTTAAAGCCAAGTTCACAGAATGGCACACAGTTCCCTTCCTCTGGAGGTTATGGCCAGGGATCACTGGTAGCTGATGAAGAGTCTCAGGAGTTTGATGACCTGATATTTGCATTAAAAACTGGTATGTATGAACCCACAAGCCATATTGGTAATAGACAGTTTTTTAGTTTTTTGCATTTTGGGTCACACCCAGCGATGCACAGAGGTTACTCCTGGTTCATGGACTCAGGAATTACTCCTGGCAGTGCATGGAGGACCATATGGGATGCTGAGAATCTTCTGGTCATGGAATTGCAGAAGTAGATTCAGTGGCCATTACCTCTCTCTGATTCTTATGATCTTTCCTAATCCTATGCAGATTCTCGCATATTTTGTTCTTGGCACCAAATACAACACAACCTAAACATAATGTACAATTTACAGTTTTAAAAAATGAAAAAAACAAGACCAGAGAGACAGTACAGAGATTAAGGTGCTTGCCTTACACACAGTCTGTTTTGATACCTGGCACTGAATATGGTATCCCCAGCACCACCAGGAGTGATCCCTGAACTCAGAGTCCAGAGTAATACCTGAGCACTCTAGGGTATAGGCTCCCCAAATATTTTTTAATTAAATTATCATGAAATACAGTTACAAAGCTTTCATATTTGAGTTTCAGCCATACAATGATCAAACATCCATCCCTCCACCAGTGCACATCTTCCACACCAATGTCCCCTGTATCCCCCCTCATTCCACCCCTTTCCCTGCCTCTATATCAGACAATCTCCCCCATACTCTATTTTGAATTGCTTTTTATGAATAGCATAAGATGTCGCATGCCTGCGAGAGTGGCTGTGTGCTCCAGGAATTCTAAAATTTTAGATAATTAAGGTCTGGAGAAATCTCTGCAGTGAGCTGCTCAGTTCTGAGAGTCTTTTTTGTGTCTCTGGATCATGGCCATTAAGGAGCTTAAGCAGCAATCAGAGGCAGTTACTGGGTGTGACCTCCAGGGTCCCATAGGGGTGAGGAGATGAGAAGGACCAACTCATCCCCTACCCCTTGAGGCCTGGAGTTTGCTATCACTGAGCCCATGTACCTGCACTTCTCACTGGGTTCTGGAAGTTGGTGACCTCTGGGATTCTTAGGGGGCAGGTACAGGGATGATGCCTGCTCCCGTCTGAGGCACCTCGGTAAGGTTGGTCTGGCTGAAAGTCTAGAGTCATCTCTGCAGTGAGCTGTTCGGTTGAGAGTCTTTTGTGTATCTCCCCAAATAGCTTTTTAAATAAAGTCTTGGAATCTGAGAGATAGTATGGAGAGTAAAACATTACCTTTCATGTAGCTTGGTTTTATCACTAGCACCACATATGTTCCTTCAAGTCCTGCTAGAAGTGACTCCAGAGCACAGGATAGGAGTAAGCCCCATACACTAGTGTGCGTGGCACAAAAACAGAAGGAAGGAAGGAAGGAAGGAAGGAAGGAAGGAAGGAAGGAAGGAAGGAAGGAAGGAAGGAAGGGGAGAGGGAGGGAAGGAGGGAGCAAGGAAGGAAGGACAGCTGCTCACTCACTCTTCTCACTCTGTTAACTTTCAACTCCCACTGTTCATCGATTTGCTCAAGTGGGCCCAGTAACATCTCCATTTTGAGACCTGTTTTTACTGTGTTTGGCATATCGAATACATCACAGGTAGCTTGCCAGGCTTTGCTGTGCAGGAGAGATACTCTCAATAGCTTGCTGGGCTCTCTGAGAGGGGCGGAGGAATCGAGCTCTGGTCAGCCAGGTTGGTCGCATGCAAGGCAAATGCCCTACCCACTGTGCTATCGCTTGAGCCCCTCTTTCTCTAAATAGATGTAGATTACAGTTCTAAATTCTTGCTAGAATATCAAAATATTATTAAGATAATTTGATCTAAGGCAGTATTCTAGAAATTTTTATCTCTGAGCTGCTAGATACTCATTATGGAGTGTTTTTGAAGCAGAAAATTTCAAAAACAACATAATTGGCTTTTTTTTTATAATTCTTTAGTTTTCAAAATTCCAACACATTATTTCAGTGACTTTTCCTGTATATTCAGTTTTACTCCACCTGTGTCCCTTGTGGTTAGTTGTTTTTACTTAATGCGATGTTGTTGTTTTTTTCCTCAGAGATATGTTGAGTTGTGACTATTTTAAAATTTTCAGCAGCCTTTCACTTCTATTATGTACAATAAAGAAAAATAATATATTCACATTCAGATAAAACTTATTGAAATAATGATCTGAAATGCACTCTATGCATCACTATATTATGAGTAGTATTTGAAATAGGTTATGTAAAAACTTTTATATAGTTGTATAACATTGAAGAGTTTCAACTTTTATATAGTTTAAGATGAATGAATGAATGGATGAAAAAATGGAACAAAAGTTTGCTGGGAGAAATAAATATTCACAGAAATGTGGCAGAAGAGTAATTGTAAAATACGTAATTGAGAGTTATTAATTATTGTGGATATTAAAAACACTCGGCAATGCTCAGGGGTTACTCCTGGCTCTACACTCGCTGGGGGACCATATGGAATGCCGAGAATCAAACCCTGGTTGGCTGCGTGCAAGGCAAATGCCCTATCCACTGTGCTATCACTCTGGCCCCAATTTTTGAATATTTAGACTTTCAGCTGTTAGAGACTATAAGAAAGGGATGCTTTCCATTCTGCAGAGTGAGGAATAGATTTAACGCAGACCAGGAGTTGGACTGATTCAAGGCCAACTCAAGAGAAACACCCCTCCAGTGTGACCCCCGCTAATTAAGTAACTTTAATAATATTAAATTAATAATTAAGTTATAATAAATAAAATAATCATCTAATAAATTATAAATGATATAGTGGTTTATATATTCTTAGTATTTGTTATGTCATGACTATTATAATAATTAATATGAAGTAATATTATTGATGATTTACACTAGTTCCCACAATAGATTTTCTGCAAACACCCTCCTTGAACTTTCTGTATTATCCTCAGTGGGGACGTTCTTTCCTGTAGAGACTGACAGTTAACACTAACACTATTAAAAACACTGTGATTTATAAAGCTGTTCATTATACAATTGCTTCAAGCATTTAGTGTTCCAAAACCTGATGTGTTTGAAATATAAGTACTGATAGAGTCATTTGTGCTGATGTCAGATATGTGCTGACATTTTTCTTTATATTAGTGTTATTAAAATTAAATTAAATTAAATTGAAAAATAAAATGTTATTTAGGTGCCAGGCTAAGGACATCTAACATTTGGTAAAACCTGTGAGACATGGAGGTTTAAAGAAATGAGTAACATGTTCCCACCAGTGTCTTTTAGACAGAATAACTTATGAAAGTATGAAGAATAAATTTAAAAGTAAAATGAGATGAAACTGGGAGGTTTTCACAATGCTCCAAAGAATGAGATTCAGGCATCAAATTTGGGGAATGGAAATAAAAATACGAGGAACGTGGAGAGCAAACCCTCCAAGAGGACAGTCGTCCTTATTTCTCACCTAGTGACCAAAGAACCAGATATTTGTTTATTTGCCGGTGACAAGTGATGAGTTCGGATTAAGGTATATTGATCTCAGGGTCTGATGGCTGTTATATGTTCAGGTTGGCATCTTAGGTTAGGGATCAGTGCTAGGGGTCATTATTTGAAAAACATTACCACAGAGCTTACTTTTGAATGAATCAGTTTGGTCTGGGAGAACAGAGAAAGATGAGAAGGAGAGAAGTAAGGAGAGAGGACGGAAGAAAAAACACCAGAAGCAGATGGTAACAAGACCTTGCTCCCTATTATTAATTCCCACAGAGAAAAAATAGTTTGATCATAAAGAGAACTAAAGAGAGACGAGAGTTTCACAATGCAGAAGATAAAACACTACATGAAAATGCTTCTTAAAAAATGTAGCACTCACAGGGAAGCAAAATCAGCAATTCCTTAGATTTTGCATGTAGAACTGAGGGGATCACAGTGGGGAGAACATGGAATTATGGTGGAGGGATATTGGTGTTTTGGTGATGGGTATGGGGTTGTAAGCATTTGTTTCCTCCTCCTCCTCCTCCTCCTCCTCCTCCACCTCCTCCTCCTCCTTCTTCTCTTCTTCCTCTTCTTCTTCTTCATCCTCTGCCTCCTTCTCCTCCTCCTCCTTCTTCTCTTATTTACAAGTTATAGTATATTTTTGAAGAAGTTTGAGATTGTGCCCCTAAAACAGATGCACTAGTATAAACTAACATTATCAAGTAAATTGTTTTTTCAAGAAGCAAGAAAAGGGGCCTCAGATTGCAAATAATTCTCACAACCATAATGTGATTAGCTGTTGATAGGACCACTGGAGGAATAAAAGGAATACTTGTTGCATAGTTAAATTAGATGTGAAATTATATATATAATATATAATTATAACATATATACACACATATATGTATGTATATATTATGCCATTCAGGAATGTATGGAATGACTATTCACTTAAACAGTTTAGCATTCTTTAGAGCTCACGAAACTCATTAGGAAATAGACACTTTAAAGGACTAAAATAACAGCCCAAAACACTGGTTCCCTGTGTTTTCAGAAAATATACTATAATAACCCAACGCCATTACCCTACATACTTCCTATTACAGAATTTGGTCAAATCAGGGACTCAGAACACATGCTGTTTGATCAACAGCAAAATTTGCAACTGGACCAGATTTGGCCCACAAGGTATTTAGTTGACTCTCATCACATTTGTGTGTGTGTGTATGTGTGTGTGTGTTCGTGTTTGTGCCAACATTAAAAAATTTAGACATATCCAACACAATCTTGATTTTATAATTTAAAACAAACATAAAACCCTAGCACAACACTGCATCTTGGCAGTAATGGATGCACTCTTGCACCGGCTGTTTGGTTTATCCAGTGCTCACCAGCCTGGTTCATTCTAGCTTCCTAGTCTCTGTGACATTTGAGGTCTTTCAGGTTCACCAAATCATGCCCTAACAACAACAGGCCTTCCCAGTGTTTTCCCTTTTAAGCCTGATATAATGAATTTCTAATGCAGTGAAATTTTTACATTATTCTCTTTTCTCTTGAAGTTTCATTTCCATCCAATTATGTCACACTGTTTTATCCTTATATAACATACAC